ATTTGGTTGTGTTATATTTGTCACTTTTACAAAGTTCTACATGAAAGTTGGCATTGTAAAAAATCTCCCATTTAAGTACAGTTGTTTATTTCAATAATTACATTGTTTTCATAACTAGTCCTTGGTTTAAAGAGGGCCATATGATTTTAGGTGAAGATAAGATATGTGCTTAGATTCTTGCCTTTGAATGACTGCTTTTTTGTTGAATGCAGTATTTCTTGTTATTTTGGGGTAATATATTTTGTGATTAACTGAAATGACATTTAATTTACCTTAAACATTTATCAAAATTAGTAATAGTGATTGAGTATTTATACTCAATCAGAAACCCCAAATTTAAAAATTAAAATATAAACTTTATTAATACATAGAATGTACTGCTAGGTGCTGTTTTGTTTAATAACATTATTTAAGCTATTGTTTAAGTAATATAGTATAGTTTATATAAAAATGTTTTTTTACAGTCACAAAAGACCTATCTTCTGCTTTCCTAAAAGGAAATACATTATCAAAAAAATTTTTTTAAAGACTAGATCATGTCAAATCATATTTTGTGTCTAGTTCTATGTACTAGTGTGAAATATCTCCTTTCACTTGTTCACTGTTTGAATCACTGTAGTTTACGATCAGTTCTTATTTTAACATTTCTCAGTAGGAAGGAGGTTAAGACAATAGACCCAGCCTTTTTCTCCTTGCCGTCTCTAATTTTTAGAGTTCTTTAATACGTATATCAAATATATGCAAGTAGAATTTTGAGGGAGAGGAAACTTTTTTATATGATCCATAAAAGTCAACTTCCTAGGATCCAGAGTGGAGTCAAGGGAGACTCTGATAAAGCCAAGGAAAAATATCTAGCCGGTTATCCATATTAATATTAGGCTGTAGAAGATAACAAAATGCAAAGTGGCAAAGTATGTCACCTTCCCTCCATTCCAAGTCGACCCACTGTTAATGGGTTTTTGAATTTTGTGGTATTAGAGATTGAATCCAGGGCCTTGTGCATGCTAGGTGAGTGCTCTTTACCAGTGAGTTGTATCTCTAGTCTTTTTTTTTTTTTTTTGACTTTTTTGACTTTTTTGAGGGAGGATCTCACTAAATTGCTGAAGTTAGCTTTGTGTTCACACTAGCCCAGGCAGGCCTTGAGCTTTTGATTCTCCTGCCTTAGACTCTCCAGTACTTGGGATTATAGACCTGTGCCACCAGGCCTGGTCAGAAAAAAGTTTTTTTTTCCTGGTATATGTGGTGCTAAGGATCAAACTCAATGCCTTGAGTATGCTAGGCAAACACTACCACTGATCTTTATCCCTAGCTGCCATTTCTTGGGCTCTTTATTTCACTAAATTATTTTGCATGCTGAGATACTCTATGTCTGGCAGTTTTTATTCTCAAGAACTATGATCACCAAATTTTATTATTTTTATTTTGTGTGTGTATTGCCTACATGTATGTGAGTGTGCCCATGTCGTGCAATGCCCACAGAGGTTAGAAGATGGTGTTGGATCCCCTAGAACTGGAGTTACGGTTACAGGCAGTTGTTAGTCGCCACATGGGTGCCAGGAATCAAACTTGGGTCCTCTCTAAGAGCAACCAGTGCTCTTAACTGCTGAGCCATCTCTCTAGCCCCTGGCAAGGATGATTTTTTTTATAATTGTCAAATACTTTTAGTTATCAGTTGAGTGCTAGACTTAATCATAGGCTTCTTAGTGTTGGTTGCCTGTCTCCCCAAATTCTGGGTGTGAGAAGATGATAAAACTAGAAGTGTGGTCCTGGCATAGGCGTTTTTGGATTGGTGGTATTGAAGCAGAGATAAACGTTAGGGTCTACACTCTGAGATAGGAACTCCTAATTCCCTAGAACTTTGGTTCATATCTTGGTTAGAGAACTAGAGTGTTTCATCGTGTGTACTAAAATGAAGACGTGCAGTTGTATTCAAAAGATATTATCACATAAATAAGCATGAAGACAAGTTTTATGATAAAGAATGTTATACTAAAATGTTTGAGCACTGAGCAGTGAAGCTCAAGTTTCCTGATAACTATTTGTAAAAATCTCCATCATTTAAAAACCAACAAAAGAACAGTAAATTTGAGATATTTGAAGTATTATGAAGTAACTATTTACAGGGCCTGAGGGTTTTGCTTTTGAGTTAATAACTAGAAGAATGAGGAAAGCTAGTATATTTTTGTTTGTTTATTTTTTTGTTTAAAGAAAATAGTTTGAAGTTCAATAAAACAATTTCGGGGGTGGAGAGATAGCTTAGCTATCAAGAGCACTGGCTGCTCTGCCAGAGGACCCAGCTTTGGTTTGCAGCACCCACATGGTGACTAACAGTAGTCTGTAACTCCAGTTCTGTGGGCATTGAATGACATGAATATACTTACATTCATGCAGGTAATACACACATACACATAAAATAAAAATAATAAATACATATTAAAAAAACAGTTTCACAATATGTTAGTTTCTACCACCCGACCCCCTGCCTTTTTGAAATAAGGTCTTAGAATGTAGCCTGAACTTTCTTAAAAATTGAACTCATATTTTCTTTAGATCAAGTTTTTCAATAATGAATTTCTAATTAACCATTATTATGTGTGTTTTGTAGCAAAATAGCTATGAATGCTGAAATAATTGAGTGTGGAGAAAGATATATTACGTCTAGCAGGTATATATACAGAGAACACAGTTCTTTCCAAAGTAATGGTGTCCAGTAAAAAGCTTGGAAATTTTATTTGGGTAGCCTACACGTATTTACACAGGAAAGCTTTATTCTGGAACATGTATGGTTGAAGATCATAGTTCAAGCAGAGGAGATGGACAAACTGGGAGGAATGCTTAGCCTAAGGTCACAGAGCACTTAGTAGAAAGATTAAAATGGTGAATGGGAATACTTGGCTAGGCTTGACTTGCTTCATAATGGCAGACAGGGCTGTATCTGGGCATGCCTGACCTTCCCTTGGAAGTTTTAGCAGTTAAGGACAGGCTGCTCTTCTTCATTGCCTCTTGTCTCAGCACAAATTAGATTTTTTTAAAAAATCATAGAAATTGAAAAAGTAGTTTGGATTTATGTGTTTTCTCAACAAAAGATCTTAGGTCATGTTCAGCTGTGTAAGCCAATGATGCCTCCTTAAGTCTCTCCAGGGAATTGAGGTGCAAATATTTTATGCTTTCTTGAATGCATTATCCACTTTCCCACATTGCAAATACATGAAAATGTGTCTTCAGTTCTTCATTGAGAAGTGATATGTAAATGTATAAAAGTCTTGTTTATAGCCGGGTGTGGTGGTGCATGCCTTTAATCCCAGCACTTGGGAGGCAGAGGCAGGTGGATCTCTGTGAATTCGAGGCCAACCTGGTCTACATAGTGAGTTCCTGTAGCTGGGGCTACAGGGAAACCCTGTCTCAAAAAAAAAAATAAATAAATAAAATAAATAAAGTCTTGTTCATAATGTCATTACAATGGGACTATTGGTTTTAGATATAAGTAATTGATATAATCTGTTGCAATTTTTGTTACAATTTGGTATATTTGTTAGAAAATGACACAGAAGAGTTGCTTGTGCTACTGAAAAGCAAGGGTTTGAATTTTCCTTCTTCCTTGCATAAAGCAATAAAAGTGCTCCTTTATTCATTTTAAAAATCACAGCTGTTCACCTGATGACCATAATCTAATTCACTATATTGAGTAAACATTTTGGAATAAAGGTAATAATGATTGATAGTGCCACCATGTGGCTGAAAAACAGATTAGTTAGAAAGCACCTTTCTAGATGATAGTTTTTAAGTTTTAAATAGTTTTATAGTTTTATAAAGAAGTGTGGACTAGAAAACTTGCCTTATTTGAAGGTAGTTTAAAAGTCCAGGTAGATAAACTTGTATTCTCAGTTATTAGAGTACAATTTGCTGATACTACATTATTTGGAAATGTGCATATTTCATCTCTTATAATGCAAATGTAGAGAAACTGTTTATCTTGGAAGTGGATAAAATGTTTTGTTTTTAATAGTTTAGCAACATTAACCTATCAGTTTACTGCATATATAAATCTCATGCCAACAGTGGAATACTATTTGCTGCTGTCCTTTTGTAACAGTAATTCAGACAGAGAAAGTGAGAAAATTATCCTATTTTGGCACTGTTCAATTTGGGATTGGGAATTTCAGTTGATAGCGGGAGAATTAAGATCTACTAAATAGATGACATGTGCTGTGAGTTGGCTGCTTGGAATTAATTCTTCTCATTTTGTACTTCCATTTTTGCAATATTTACACTCAAATTGCTTTCAAAATAGAAACTGTATTTTGAATGAGTTTATTTTGGAAAGGAGCATGTTTGATTGTTCATATGGCAAAGTGGCTGTGTAGATTTTCATTACTGGTCTGACTAGAGGTGAGAACTTAAGCAGCCTCGACTGGCAGCAGAAGGACTGTCCTCAGGCCTCTCATCTGGTCTTTGTCCATGTGAGGAGTTGTCCTCTTTCAGTACTTCACTGCCTTGTGAGGAGCTAGACAGGAAGAGTTGGTAGAAATGAATTCTGTCTTGTAAGTGGCGGTACAACTTTAGTCCATAGATGGGTCAGTGATTTTAAAGACTTCCTCAGAAGGTAGGCTTCCTACTACAGTCTGAAAAGGAAAGTGGTGTTTTTCAAATAGGAATATCAGCATCAAATGTAACATTTTATTATTCTCTTGTTTGTTTAGAAATGACAGTGATGTTTTTACAAGGTTTGAAATGAGCTCAAAAGCACAGATTTTGGTTCTTTTTGGCTGTTGTCAATAAAAATTTAGGATTATGCCCTGGAATGTTGAGAGAAGAGCATTTGGTCTAATTAGAAGGGAAAAATGATTATATATTTGGAATGCTTTAGTAGTCATTTCTTTAAAAACTGACCTTTTCAAT